AAATCTGCAAACAGAAGCCTCAAAGTTGGCAACATGTCACCTAAGGGAGAAGCAGATACACAGAGAGAAGTGTGTGTGCATGCTCAGTCACTTGTTGCGATCCCATGGACTGTAGCCCACCAGGCTCCTCTATCCATGGGATTTTCCAGGCAAGAATACTGGAATGGGTTGCCATTTCCTCCTCCAGGGCCCTGCATTGGGGGGGTGGAGCCCCCAAATCAATATTTTTTTTAACTTTCCAGGTGACTCTGATGACAACAGGCTTGGAAACCACTGATCACATCTCACATATTCACTTCAGATAAAGAAACAGAGCCTGACAGAGAAGAGGAATTAGCCCACGGTCACACAGCAAAGTCAGTTGCAGAGACAAAGTCAGGCTCTGGGTCGGCAGTCTCCAGGACAGAGGTCCTCCCAGCTCACCCGCTGGGCTGTTTTGTTGCTCATGACAACCTACAACAGAGATAGGTTTCATTCATTCAATAAACCTTTATTGAGTGCTTCTTCAGCGCCAGGCGCCAGGGAGACACAAACAACAGGAGTCTTGGCCTCAGAATCCTGGGTGGCCTAGGGTGCCATGAGCTCAGAGCTGGTGCTTCTAGCGTAGGGGCTCCGGTGTAGCTACGGTCAGATGGATTCATGTCCACTTCCAAGCAAAAGGCACAAGACGGCTTGGCAACTGCTGCTTGGTGGGGGGCTAGGAGGGCGGAGGGAGTTGCAGGGGGAAGGCATGAGGCTTCAGACAGAGGAAAAGAGAAAAATAAGGAAAACAAAGGCTCCTTTTATGGAAGGTGGGTTACTGTTGTTTTAATAAGCCACTTGTGTGCTGTGACTTTATTCAAGTTAGAATAAACGATGGTGAACCCAAGATTTCTAAGGTTATTTACTGGGCGTATAAGAAACAATGTGACATGACTGAAATATGTTAAGACCAAAATAGAGGCACCAGGAAAATATCTCTGTAGGACGAGTCTTCACGACCACAGAGACAGCACATCTGCCCTGGCTCACGGTTGTTGGTGAAAATCGGTCCACAGGAGGGCCAGGCAGAGGGCTGAACAGGTCAGTGAAATCCCTACATCTGTGCAAGGAATTTACTATCTCTAATGCTGCCAAGGCCACGGGGAGGTGAACACTTTCATTCACCATCAGCAGGATAAGTGGTACAATATTTCTGAAGTGCGGTTTGGCAAATTAAAAAAATATATACATAAAATACTTTCAAACTACCCTTTGGACCAGCTATTCTACTTCTAGGAATTTATCTCAAGGATAACTATATAAAGGAAAACATTGAAAAGGATGTTCGACAAAGCATACATTATAAAAATAGTGAAAATTTTTGGGAAAAAATGCCCATAGATTGCAGAAGGACTAGATAATTTATCTACAGTCTAATGGCTATTTCCCCTGCCCCACGTTTTCACTATTATTAAGGCTTCCCTGGTGGCTCAGATGGTAAAGAATCTGCCTGCAATGTGGGAGACCCGGGTTGAACCCCTACATGGGGAAGACCCCCTGGAGAAGGGAATGGCTACCCACTCCAGTATTCTTGCCTGGGAAATCCCATGGACAGAGAAGCCTGGTGGGCTACAGTCCATGGGGTCACGAAGAGTCAGATACGACTGAGCAATTTCCATTTTCTTCTTTTCTACACTTGAAAACTCTTAAGCCATTAAAAATGACAATGTGCATTTGTTTATGGATTTGGAAAATGTCTGTTATCACTTTTATTGAGAAAAGCAAATTTCAAAATGAGTTAATATAATACATTTTAAATACAGCTATGGACATGTGCATTTATGCATATTCAGAAGATTATTTTTCACCAAAATGTCAACAATAATGAGCAGGGTGGGGTGATTTTAATTTCTTTATTTTCCTCTGCATTAAATATTTTATAATGCTTCTACAGTAAGAACAAATGATAGAGCTATTTTCGTTCGGAGATTAAAACATTTGAAGAAACTAGGCTAATTCCAACTTGATTTAATAGAGATTGCAAATATTCATTCATTCTTTATTTTTACAGGCTCCTCTCTGTTAATATACATTCTTGTAATATATATTCAGGCATGAAAACAGTTTGTTCATTCACTTGAAACTGTTTAATAAGCATCTATTATGAATGGGGGTACAGGACTGGTATAATACTAAGTGAGGGGGATAGCATGACATGGATTTGGACTGCTGCTCCATCACTCCCCAGGTATACAGCCTTAGGATATTAACCTGCCCTGAGTCCCAGTTTCCCTGTCTATCAAAGGTAACACAAGTACTCATGGTGTTAGTCACCTATTACTATAAAGTAAACTACTCCAAGACTTAATGGCTTAAAACAACAATAATGATTTATTATCTCACAGTTTCTGCAGACCAGGAACTTGGGGGAACTTCGGCTGGGTGCTTCTAGCTGGAGGTATCTGTCAAAGTTGCAGTCAGATAAAGCCAGAGCGTTCGCTTCCCAGCCGACTGCATCCGAGGGCTGGCAAATTGATGGCAAGGATCATAGGGACCGTCTTGAAGGCTGAGTTAACTCATCCATCAAAGGAGGAGATGTTTATAAAGGGCTCGGTGTATCTTCACTGCGTTCTTTATAAGCCAGAGTGACGATAACGCGGACATATAACTGTACTCCCAAAGGAGCCCCGTGAACCGGCCCAGAGACATTAAGCGGTTTGACCAGTCATACAGGCAGTGGGTTTCTGAGCCGGGAGAAGCAGCACGTTTTCTAACTCATCTCTGCTAGGGTTTCTAACTCTTTCCCTACAGGAAACCCCAGTGGAGCCACAGCAGTGAGCAACCACTTGCTGTAACAGAACAAATTTGGTTACCAGGGTTGAAGATGAACAGACGTCTCAGAAGGAAGGACAGGGAAGCTGCGAGAAGATTCTGAGTATCTAGCTGAGGAAGTCATTTTCCTTTGATGGAAAGGGTCACGAGGAGCCATGGGGAGTTTGGAACAAGAGTGACTTAATTCAAGCCCGTGCGTCAAGTTCAGCAGCCTGTTGGAACATTCCTGGCATCGGGGGCCGAAGGCAGCGGTGGAAAAGGGTGCCCACGAGACACCGTGGCTAGGTGTCCTATCCACGTGCAATCTATGGATGCAGGTTAAGGAAGGATGAAGGAGGCCGGCTCACAAGGCGGAGGTGAGAGTGGCTCCTGAGCTGGTGCATGCACAGTGGCGACAATAAACGCCTCCCTCACCCTCATCACCCGCCCTGTGTCTGCTTCAATCTACAGCGTTGGAGGCCGAAGAACATTCAGCACGATTTGGAAGCAGGGTTTTAAAGCAAAGAGTCTTTCCTCTCATTTCTGGCTCTCCAAAGTGGCAAACTGATGAAATGAAGGACCAGACAGGATGCGATGAATGTGGTTCCGAGTTCAGCCCCGAGGCCCTACTCTACTAAAAGGCTGGCTTCCCAGGGATGGAGGTGCTGAAAGAGTTGTCAGTTGTCTCCCTCAAGGCTGTACGGTTGAGCCTCACTTCCCTGGGCAATCTGTCTGAGCACCCCCTCACCCGGCCTGGAGGAACGGAGCTGCTCTCAGCACCCTGCCCACCATTTACCATGATGGACCCTCTCCTGAGACCAGGGAGGGTGCCCTGCTAATCTGAGGGCAGAGACCGCGTCTCTAGGCATCTCAGTCCCTAGGGCCTGAACACCACTTCTGCTTCCTAAAAAAGCTTGACAAGTAATTTTCTCTCCCAATTTCATCAGCTTCACATCCAGACATGGAGGGTGTGATTCCAAGGGCTGAATCCCCCCATCAATAGGGCTGCCATTCACATCACAGGTCTTATAGATTCAATCATCCATTTTCTAGGATAATAAAGCGATCTGTTTTAACAAAACAGTGTGCCAATCTTCTAAGAGAGGGAAATAAAGTGATGTGAGAAAGGAACATTTTTTTCTAGTTGGCCCAATGATTCTATACCCACTGGCAATGGCCTTATCCATACACAGGTTTTATTTGGCCAATGTAACTTTAAAAATGGGACTGGGGTGGCTCTAGATGGGCACATGCTCTCCAAATCGTCTCCCACTCCCTACTGTCTTCTACTCTTAACTGCTTTGTATTACTTACCTCCTAGCCCTTGATGCCATATGCATTTGCAATGCTGCAATATGATATAACACTTCATAATGCATAAAGCAGATGTGTGCAAGGTTCTTTCTTGTGCTGGATCAAAATCCTTTCTATAGATTCTATAACTACCTCTCCTATATCTAGAGTCCTATACGTTCCATATTGGAAGTTAAACCTTTTCCTAAAGCAGTTCTTTCATCAATTTGGAAACCATCATCAGAGTCTCTGAGGCCTTCTCTTTTCCATGTTAAGCCCACTGTCTTTCTTCATCTGTTTCTTAGGACACTGTTTCTTAGGACACCATAATCAGAAAGCACCTTCTTAAAGAGGGGCTTCCCAGGTGGCACAGTGGTAAAGAATCTGCCTGCCAATCAATGCAAGATAATGCAGGAGATATGGGTTCAATCCCTGGGTTGGAAAGAGCCCCTGGAGAAGGAAATGGCAACCCACTCTAGTATTCTTGCCTGGAAAATCCCACGGACAGAGGAGCCTGGCGGGCTACAGTCCATGGGGTTGCAAAGAGTCAGACACGACTGAGCATGCATGCATCTGAAAAGAGGAGCACTCATGAAAAAAAATAATAAAGGTATGCTCTCATCTCTTGCAATCCAAGTGCAATCCAAAAACCAGCATCAGCACTAGGATCACTTGGCAGCTTGTTACAGACGCAGAGCCTCAAATTCTGCCCTAGACTTACTGAATCAATATTCTTCAGCTGATGTGCACAAACAGACTCGGAGAACAGAGCCTCTTTCTGTATTGACACAGCCTAAGATCACATGAGTCAGCATATGGACACCGGGGGGAAGGAAGGGTGGGGTGAGTTGGAAGGTTGGGATTGACATATCCACACTGCTGTGTGTAAAATGGGTGACTAATGAGACGCTGCTGCAGGGCACAGGGAACTCTGTCTACTCAGCGCTCTGCGGGGGCCTGAATGGGAAGGAAGTCCAACAACAAGGGGACACATGTATACAGACAGACGATTCACTTTGCTGTACAGCAGAAAGCAACACAACATCGTAAAGCAACTCCACTGCAATAGAAATTAGTAAAAAGGAGATCCGTCCTGAGTGTTCATCGGAAGGACTGATGTTGAAGCTGAAACTCCAAGAGTTTGGCCACCTGATGCGAAGAGCTGACTCATTCAAAAAGGCCACCTGATGCTGGGAAGGATTGAGGGCAGGAGGAGAAGGGGATGACAGAGGATGAGATGGTTGGATGGCATCACTGACTTGATGGACATGAGTTTGGGTAGGCTCCGGGAGTTGGTGATGGACAGGGAGGCCTGGTGTGCTGTGGTCCATGGGGTCACAAAGAGTCAGACACGACTGAGCGACTGAATTGAACTGAACAAGATTACATGATTCAATCTTTTAAGAGGCAGTTATATTGTTGACCCTGAGTCCTGTTATCTGAAATTCAATTATTTTTACTCACTAAGCCATATCTTCCTATGTATTAACAGTTTTATAGAAGCATTTAACAGTCTAATTACATGTTGATGAGTTATGCATGTGCCTAGATCAAGATCTTAAGGAACAGACACAGACCACATTCATCTTTGTTGCTTTTGTCAAGCGAGTGTACTCTCCTCGGTTGTGTCTTGTCTCAACAAAAATTTGAAGCGACGGACATTAAAGCCCTTGGTGCGTCACAGCTCTGGGACAGTGTTATAGCTCCCTCAGTTTTATCTAGAAAATAAAGGAAAATACATCCTCGAGGCGTGGGGGCATGCCAACCCAAAAGATGCGAAGAGGAGAGAGAGAGCATGTGCAGGCATGCAGGAAAGAGAGAGAGACCGACCCCTGGCCTGTTGGTTCCTCTTTATATGTTTTTCCTCCCCCTGGCCTGCTCTATGTAAACTGGGCCAGCCAGGAGTGCTGTTTGTTCTACCCGAGGTCCACCCTCTGGTCCTCAGACCTTCCTTTGTTCTATCTTCGCGGGCTTTTCCCTTCCTTGTCCTTTAGCCACCGCCATTTTGGGCTCCTGTTTCCTATTCTAACTACCTAACACTTTTACGTAAGAAGTAACAGAAAAAATGAACTAACATTGCCCCAGGAAGGATAAAGGAAACGGTTTGTGGCCTGGCGCGACCTGGAGCTCAGTGTGGGGGCCTGGGGTGCTCCCCACTTCCCACCTCGCTCCCTCAGCCCTGCACTTGGGCAGGGTCACCCTTTGTATCCTCCAGCTGCCAGCGCTGCTCAGGGCTACAGCTTCCTCATTCGAGCCCAGCGGGCAAAGCCTCGTCTGCAAACTTCAGGCAATGAAAGCTTTCTTGTTTCTCTTTTCTTTTTCAGAAACTTCAGCAAAGTCTTCTCCAGTTTCATTAGCTCTGATGGAATTAACCACTCACTTCTGGGCCAATCACAATCACAACTCACAATCTGAGGCCAAGAGAAATGAATATCCTAATGGGGTTAGGCCAATGAGAAGGCGCTCCCTAGAGCCCTGGGAGCTGAAAATGGAGGAGGGGCTCCACCAGGGAACGGAGAAGTGGATGCTGGGGAGGAGGCCGACGGATGTCGGCCGCGCTGCTCCAGGAGTCTCTGTTTCCATTTCCTCTGAATCCTGCGAGCGTTTTCTCAGGATGTCAGCACTGCAGCCATCACCAGCATGGGTTATGGCCAGAAAACGTTTCTATTTCTAAAGGACACACACACACATTATCATGCCCCATCACATTGTTTCAGTGATCAACTTTAAAGGGCCCTGGCTTACCTCCTCCTGGAATAATAAAGCAGTCACAGGAGAGGTTCTTTGGGCCACTCCAAAAACCACTCCAGACTGGTTTGCCACACATAATAGAGGGTGCACTTGAAAGACAGCATCCAATGACCGGTTCTGGCTGAAAACTTTTGTGTTTTCAAAAAGTTCAATAAGCACCAGAAGTGACCACAATGTGTTTGAAACTTTATAGCATGCATCTTAAGGAGACAAATTGCCTAAAACTAGATGGAAAGACTTGTAATTTTTTAAATTAAAAAGTGTGGACAGGAGAGGTAACAGTCAAAGTAAAATAAGCATCAGTTCAATGTTTCTGTTTCAAAAATAAAACCCGAGGTATGGGGAAAATTGTAATATGGAATTCAGAAATCTGCTTTGGCCCTGTATTCTATGGCATGTTCACTGTGCCTGCTCTCCTTGAGCCAAACGGCTCTCACTGACCAGTCAGGCTTAGAGGGAAGAGACAGAAGACCAAGGAGATCAAATGCAGGGAAGGCATTTTTCCGTCCTCACCTCAGTGATCAGAAGGCAAATATACGCACTAGCCTCAAACCAGTCAATCCTAAAGGAAATCAACCTTGAATATTCATTCATTGGAAAGGTTGATGCTCAAGTTGAAGCTCCAATACTCTGGCCACTGATATGAAGAACCAACTCACTGGAAAAGACCCTGATGCTGGGAAAGTTTGAAAGCAAAAGAAGAGGGAGGCAGAGGATGAGATGGTTAGATGGCATCATCGACTCAATGGCCATGAACTTGAAAGCACACTTCAGGAGACAGTGGAGGACAAGGAAGCCTGGCATGCTGCAGTCCATGGGGTGGCAGAGCTGGACACGACTTAGGAACTGATTATCAGCCTCTCTCGACATGCACTGCTTGAAGGTCTAGATGGTCAGTATGAGAAAGTGGGGGGACCAGCGTTGGCCGTCACCACTTCTCCAAAGAGCAACATAACACTCAGGCCTGGTCAAGCCCCAGGAAGGCCAGCTGCGTGATCTTTGACAATGGAAGGTAACCTAGCTTGGTACTTGGCCTGGTCTGACCTACCTCAGAAATGGTTTGTGTGGATCCTGACCCTACCACTTACTGGAGGAGGGACTTGGTATAAGCACTCACTCCCCACTTCCACATCCTCACGTGCACGAGAGGAACTGTGATACCCCTTCTCATGACTGGTGTGCAAATAAAACAGCTCCTGTGACAAGTTCTTGGATGTGTGCCAGACAGAACAAGCCCATGAAGGCCATTCAGTCCCATTCAGTGCTCTGACTTTAAAACACACAACTCAAGTATTTTGGTCTGATCACAGATCGTTTGTCTTTTCTGTCTCCTCCAGATGCCTGTACCATCACATATGATCGTTAAGTCACATATTTTAGTACTACAGTAATTGAGACTGAAAAAAAAAAAACCCCACTTTTGTAAATCCTCAAATTTTTCACACAGGTATATAAATAACATGAAATGATCAAAAGGGCATGGTCTCACCCTCTACTGAATGTAAAGCCTTGGGCAAGTTTAGTTCCATAGTAGACCTCAATCAGTCGTAGCTTTAAAATAGTAGCAATGACAACAAACATCTCTTCTACTAGATGGTAAGGTCCCTGAGGGTTGAAATCTTTTATCTGACTTTATATTCTCCTGAAGGTCCTAGCAGACTGACCGGAATATATTAGATGCTGAAAGGAAGGATAAATTGAACTATCTTTAAGGGCATGCCACCTTGAAAAAGAGCTTCAAAGATTGTTTAGTTGCTATAAAATGAATACAGAAACTAGAGAAAAAGTGAACTCACTGCCTGATAAATACAGCAGTCACAATTTTTACATTTCATCAATTTCCAGCCACTCTTGAAAAAGTGTCTCCCCAGCTGAGAGACAGAGGATCTCCTATGGAATCTACCTCTGTGATTCCATGACTTCTGGCAAGTTCCTTTTCTTTTTCTTAAATATGATTATACTGGAGCAGCCCCCACACAGAGGGCTGGGGCGGCAAGGAAAATCAGAAGCAGTCCTGCTCGCCCAGCGCCAGAATCCCTAGGGCCTTCCCCACCTCTGGCAAGTTTCTTTTTCTTTCCAGACTTTAGTTTCTTCAGCCACACAAGATGGAAGTAACAAGTTTTCTAAAATCTGTTAGTTGTAAAATCAGATGTCCAAAATTTCTCCACACCCCTCTGGCAGGTCTCCTATGAGTAAGGTGCCCTGACAGGCACTCCTGAAGGATGTGAGACCAAAAGAGAGATCTGTTCTCCAATAAGCTTATGGTCTATGAACAATAAAACACAAGGACACAGAAACCGTGATCCCAGGCAGGAAGGGGGTAATGGCCATCCGGGAGGTGCTCACATGGAATCTGCAGCTGTGGGCACAGCAATGGTTTTGCAGAGGGGCAGCATTCATGCTGTTTCGATGTGGCCAACACAGAGCACCCACATGCCAGGCACTGTGCCCGAGCACAAGAAACACGAGTGTTACCAGGCCACCTGCCCTCACAGTGCCTGAAGGCTGATGGCAGAGGGAGACGCTCAGAGACAGCAGAGGAATTCCAGGCAGAGGACCTGTGCAGCGCAGACAGGAAGGCAGCGTGTCCCAAAGCACCCCGGCGTGGCCGTGACTCCGCGGGCACAGTGGGAGGCTGTGCCCAGAAGAGCAGCCTGAGCAAAGGCAGGCGGGGGGTGCGACTGGCATGGAGCCCCTGAACGTCAGGCTTTGGGGTCTGGACTTTCATCACTTCAGCTAAACCCCCTAACAGCTCTACCCACCTACCAACTGAACGTGGGTCGTGTGCTCAGTCATGTCCGACTCTCTGTGACTCCTCTGTCCGTGGGATTCTCCAGGCAAGAACACTGGAGCGGGGTGCCATTTCTTCCTCCAGGGGGTCCTCCCTGGCCCAGAGATTGAACCCCTGTCTCCCGTGTCTCCTGCGTTGCAGCTGGATTCTTCACCCGCTGAGCCACTGGGGAGGTCCTAACCAACTCTAAGTGACTGAATGTTTATTAAACTTCACACAGCCATTGATTTGTATCCAACTACACTTTTTCTGTAACGAAAGGGGACGTGGCTGAAAAGAAAATTCTCCCCCGAAGGTAATTTAAATAAATTTATTTGCAAGAGAAAAATATCTGCCCGTCAGGTACAGTCTGATCCACAATGATCCAACAATAGTCACAGCTCATTCTGGGAGGACTCTCACACAGCCTGTAGGAGCAAGTCCGCATGGAGCATCAGAATCACAAAACCATCTAACCAGAGTATTACACAAGACATAATAACCATGATACAATAATAAAAATACACGATCAAATACTCACTACTTTGTGAGCTACAGCTAAAATATAAACAAGTTAGGCTCTTTCTTAAAAAAAATGAAGAAAATATTTCTATTACACCTTTATTTCAAGCATTTTCAGTTAGATACCGCTTTGTATATTTTTACTCACAAGAGATAGCAAAAGCACCCTTTCTTAAGAACCGGCAGATAAAATGTGTGGCTCGCTCGGATGTCTGCACTCTGAAGCGCGCTTCGCCAGGTAAGAGTTCAGATAAGAGGATGGAACCGTGCTGCACCAAGGTCCTGGCTGATGGTCAAGACCCGGGCAGTCTTCATGTTTGTTTAAAAAATTTACATATGGACAAAAGAAGTGAGGCCGTAAGACAGCCAACATTATTCTTTCTCGATGGAGCAGTCTGATTCCAGAGAATGGGCTTTCCAAGCTGAATTCAAAGTGTGTGGTCCCAAAGTTGAATTCTTTCCAGTCCAAGGAGCTGCCTGTGGCTGAGGCAACACACAATGATGAAGCGAGTTGAGCAGAAAGTGTTTAACTGAACTACAGAGATGGTCACTGATAAACCAGTTCCTAGAGGTCCTTGGGGCCCACACAGAGGTGAAGGGCAGTCAGAACTATCAATACAAAAGAAAAACGTGCTCACTGAACTGCACACATAGAGCTTCTAGTAGAGTTAACAGTTCTTGACATGGGTTCCTGGTTGTAGTTTACAATATCTGCCTTCACCACTCTCTGTCATAAAAGAAAACAGAGTTATTATCAGGATATCAGAACATTTAGAAAGAGCTCCTTAAAGTATATTTTTATTTTCTGAACTTTTGTGAACTCCTGATGATAGACATCATAAATGAAGCAGAAGCTGATATTAAAAGAATCAGCCAGAACCAACTCATGTCAAGCTGGGATTTTCTTTTTTGGGGGGTGAGGGGTGGGGTGGGGGGGTGGCAAAGCGGGGGGAGGGGTTGGCTTTGTTAAGGATGTAATAGCAATTTTTTTATTTAGTCTCTCTGGTTTTATGACATCTATGAGATTATCACAAGTCTAATAAAAAACTGGCAAATCAGTATGAAAAACTAAATCCTGGTTATAATTTAAAGCAAAGGATTTAAAATTAATCATTACAAGTTTTTATTCATAGATAAGGCCTCATCATTTCAAAGTAAAAAATATTATTTATTAATATTTCCATAAACTATTATACTCAGGCATAACTGTTTTAAAAATGTTTATCAATTTGTGAGTTAGTGAGAAGAAATAAAAATGTTAAAAAGAAGTCACATATAAAGAAGAAATGTTTTGGGCAGAACTTTTCCAATTTTTAAAACTTTTCTCCCAAATCCCTGACTTACTTCCAAATCGCTCACTAATGGTTCATGAATAACAACTCTAACAAAATATAGAATAATGAGAAACTTATATTACCTCATATTCATGTGTTTAAAATAGTTTAAATCAAGATACTTTTAACTCTTCCTTCCTTCCCTCTAACACAAACTTCAAAGAATATGTTAAACAATGAATTTAGCGACATGCCCTAACATTCTTCTTTAAGTAATAATTTAAGGGAAAACAAATCCTGAACTGTTTTCAACTCTTACTAAGTCTGCACACATAAGCAGACAAAGAAGGGTAATTCAAGGCAAACTTTGAAAATACTCTTTCAATTACCAGGCTATTTCAGGAAAAAACAGTAAGGAGAGAATAATGAAATAACTGCTTCAATTCTCCACTTCACTGCACATGTAATAAACATGACCATAAAGACAAATACATTTGAAAGTAAATGAAATGTTATTTTAATTTGTTCCCAATTCCTTAAGTCGTAAATCTGGCAAAGGATCAATTTTTCAAAGTTCCAGAACAGGACTCATGCAATATTAATTCCCAAGAATGTACAATAAATCTTTGAATTTTTTATTCATAAAGAACAAGATAACATTCACCAGTTCTCCCCACCCTCCTCCCCCAAATTGCAATAGTTTATCGATTAATACCTGCACTACTGTACTGAACAGATTCTGCTCTGAGCAGAGTTGGTATGTTGGTTATCTTCTTCCGAGTACTTCACTATTTCTGCCCTGACAATACGCTGTCAATTCCGTATAACATAAACAAGGTGCAGAAGAAAGGGGGAAAAAAAAAAAGAAAAAAGTGGAAAGTGTGTTCAATGACTGAAAATAGATGGGAACACCAAAGCAGAAAATGAAATACGCACATAAATTTAACAAGCCACAAAAGAAATAGCAGAATATATGCATATAAAAGGAAAGAAAACGAACAAAGATCCAAGAAACATTACAATTCTATTTAATTATTGAAATGGACATGTCTACTGAGCCTCACAGAAGAGCTGTGGGCTCTATTTTTGATATCACAATTACATGTAACACATATAATGCCCAGTATTTCAGCAAAGAATTTGGGGGCTTTTCTCTACTAAAGTGCAGCAGAAGTACTCATTCAATTTCCTTTTACAAACATTACCGAGCATCTACCGTGGGCCAGTCACTCTACACTGGGAACAAATGGTGAACTGCACAGGATTTGCTCATAAGTTGCTGTGAGAAGGGAACATGCACTCAGCTAACCGTCATACCAGGTAAGAAATTTACTAGTGGATTTATAATATGTATGGGAACAAAGAGTGGTTCATTTTCTTTGAAGGTAGGGAGAGGATGCACAAATCAGAGGAAGCTGCATGTTATTTAGGGTTTTTATATTTAATCATATTCATTATTGTCAAAGACTTCCTTTTGATGGTCACTTCCCCAGCTCTCACAGCCCTAACCTCCATGTTTTGAAATTTCATACAGAAAAAAGTAAGATCAAAATACATTTTTTATAGTTAAAAAACATACCATATTTTAAGCATGACAGCTGGTGTTTTCAAATAAAGAATTCTGCTAAGTAACAGATCAAAACTAGTTAGTTTTTTTGATTACTATAACCCTTAAGATGAGAAGACCACATAAGATAAATATGACAGAGATAACACACTCCCCAAATTTTTTAGACCTGGAACTATACCCGCTTTTAATGAGTTCAAATATTTTATTTTGGAAAGATCTTCCTTCATCATAGCATCTATTAATTAGCACATAGAGAAAAACATATTAATCAGGCTGCTGCTTGTGATAATGTTTATAAAGCCTGGATAAACAACTGAAAGTAAATGAACAGGACACTAAGGTGTATTAGCCTTGGACAGGCTCTGCTCCAGTTCTCCAGCAAGCAGTATTAACTTCTGGACAAGACTCATGATTTACTACGCACTCAGCCTGATGCTATCACAGGAGCATTGCCAACTGCCACATGACGTATGAGGGGGGTGCATCACTGGCCGGTTGAACACCATCATCTGGCCTCCCCAAACCTAACTGCTTCATGCCAAACTATGGGTTACAAGAAAGAGAAGGGATTTTCATAATCAGCAAGCAACTCATTAATCCTCCAAAATGATGGTTTAAACCCTATCTTATAAACACAACCAGGTCACTGACCTGTGGTCAAGACACTCTGGTCAAAGTATTGACTAACATAAACGACTTGGATTTTCACCACTAATTCTCATCAAATTAATTAAGAACTAACAAGGCAACATCTTTCTTGAGGGCCTTGGTTGTTTGACATAAAGCTCTGTACAAAATTTCTGAACTGGAAGCCAGAATCAAAGTTCTACATATTCAGGACTTTGCTTTCTCTGAGTAAGTAAAGCATAATTTCTATGATATAAACTTCATGGTAGGGGACTTGACAGTAGTTGCTTGTTTACAAATCATTCAATCATTGATGTTTTCAGAGAAAAGTGTTACCTACAAAACACCAGTCTTTATGTTTGGAGCTACAGAGTAAACTCAATTGTTCTCTGCTATTAGTCAAGTGAATAAAAACAATGCAGTGGCCCTAATAGAAAGGGAGCTGTGTGGTTGAACACCAGCCTAACCCCTGTTTTGTCAGAGTTGTCAGAGTCAGATACTAGAACTGAAAGTGGTAGCTCTCCATTAGGGTAAGCAAGACAGCAACTTAGGAGTTGAAGTGGTAAGATATAAGCAGTAGAGATGGACTCGGGAAAGATAAATCTGGTTAATTCTGCAACTGTGCTGTAATCCAGATAGTAGAAACATATAACCCTATAAAAGTCAGAGTTGGTCACCCTCAGGATAGAGAGGAAACATACTCTGACAGCTAAAACACCTGTCACTATCACTCATTCAAAGCAAACCACTATTCCAGGTACTGGAAACATTCCAACAAACAATCATGATCTCTCTTTTTTTGAGATGCATTAAGAGTCTAGCAAGGAAAACAAATGCATAAATTATTAAAGAATACTATGATTGATACCAATTGAACGTATCAATTGATACGTTCAATTGATACCAATTGAATTCAACAAATTCAAGATTATAGGTTACCACTCAAAGCACAGATGTAGCATTTTTTAAAAGCATGGTACCATGCACACAGTAGGAGCTTAAAGAAAGCGACTCTCCTTCTTCTTCCATGTAATGGCATACACATACACTGTATAATATGTCATCACAGGCTGTCAGTAACAGTCGTAACTCTGGGCAAGTTACTTCACCTCTTTGGTCTTCACACTCTCCTAATCTATAAAATACAAGGTTTATCTATGTGGCCGCTAAGATCCCATTTGGTTTTGAAACTATATGAAAAAAAATTTTTGTTTAAGTGAATAGAAAAAGAAAAATAATGGAATATGATCTGACACAGGGCTTAGCAATATTTTTTTGGAACTTTCTCCTCAGGCAAGGGAAGCAACCATCAACAAAATGGGTGATGGTTATGAAACCATCAGTGAAAGGCCACATTAAATAATCATTAACTGATGAAAAGGCCCCCTGTGGAATGAGAGAAGACATTTGCAGACGATACGATGAAGAGTTAACACACAAACATATAAAGAACGCATACAGCTCAGCGTCAAACACAAAATAACAGAGAAACAATTAAAAATGTTCAGAGAACTGAAAGGCATTTTTTCCACATAAGACATACAGATGGCCAAAAAACACATGAAAAAGATGCTCAACATTTCTAACCATTAAGAAAATACAAATCAAAACCACAATGAGGTATCTCTTTATACTTGTTAGAATAACTACTGTCAAAAAGACAAGAAATAACACGTGTTGGCAAGAATGTGTAGAGAAAGGAGCCCCCCTATGCTGCTGTGGGAATGCAGATTGGCGCACCCACTGTGGAGAACACTATGGAGGCTCCCCAAAAACTAAAGATAGAAATACTATATAACCCAGTGATTCTATTCCTGGGTGTATATCTGAGGAAAACAAAAACACTCATCTGAAAAGACATATGCACCCCAATGTTCATAGCAGTATTAATTATAATAAACAATACATGAAAGTCATGTGTGATCATCAGCACAAAATGGGTAAGAAAGATGTGATACACACACACAATGGAATATGCTCAGCCATAAAAAGAGTGAAATGTTGCCATTTGCAACAACAGGGACAGACTTGGAGGTTGTTATGTTTTGGAAAATAAGTCAGATAGAGGAAAAACAAATAGTGTGTCTTCAGTTATACGCAGAATCTAAAAAATAAAACAAATAAAGTAATTATAACAAAACAGAAATGGAGAACAAACTAGTGGTTACCAGTGGGTAGAGAGAAGAGAAGAAGGGAAAGATAGGGGGAGGGGATTAAGAGGTACAACCTACTAGGGATAAAATAAATAAAATACACGGACATAATGTACAGCTACTATTTTTAAGAACTTTACATGAACTATAATCTATAAAAACATAGGATCACTAAAACTAACACATACCTAGCTCAAAGCAAACAAAGTCATAATTGCATGAGCTGGCCAGGGCCAACGGCACCAGTAGGGGATTATGGATTAGAGCACACTGGCCGTGGCGGCCCGCCCTCACGCCATCCGGGAGCCCCCTGTGCTCCTCCCTCAGGATGAGGGCTGTGGCTCTCTCGTCTCTGTCTCCCAGATTCTAGTGCCCTGGTGCAAAGAGCCTCAAAACACCTCTGCTGTCTTAGCGAACTGCATTCCTTCTTTTTTCCTTCTACTCTTCCTTGAACAGCTTGTAAAATGTGTTGATAACTCATTTTATATGACTCTCAAATGGGAATAATCTAGGTTAAAACTAAAATAGCAGAATCTCTTTAAATAATCAGTGAGTGGAACTAAGACTAAGGCCTTATTATAAATATTTGTCACAAACAAAATTACTATAGCATCAATTTCCATGTGACTGGTGAGTCTACAAACTAGCTTCTTCTGTATAAAATAATACAAAACACTTTATCACCCTGTGACACTGAGTTCCTTCAGGACTCTTTCAAATGACGTAAAACCACAGAACGCAGGTGCACAGGCTCTCTCTCTCTCTCCCCCTTCCTTTCCTCCCTACTCCTCCACTTTCTGTATATAAATTATATATAGAAGCAAAGAAGTTCAGATTACCTCAACTACTTTGCTTTTAAATGAACTTTCAGAGACATCAAATGGCCAATAGGTACATGAAAAGATGCTCAACATCACTAATCAACAAATTAAAACTACAATGAGATATCACCTCCCACCTGTTAAAATGGCTGTCCTCAAGAATAGAAGAGATGCTGGAGAGGATGTGGAAAAAAGGAAACCCGTATGCACCGAAAGAGAATGTAAATTAGCGCAGCCCCTGGAAACCAGTGTGGAGTTTCCTCAAAAAGTTAAAACCAGAACTACCATACCATCCAGCAATTCCATCCCTGAGTATTTATCTGAAGATACATGCACGCCCATCCAGGTTCATTACAGTGTTATTTACAATAAGCGAAATATGGAAACAGCAAAGTGCCTGCTGATAGGTGAATAAAGAAAATGTGGAATATAAATATATGTACACACTCACACAAAGTGATATTATTCAGCCATGAGAAATAACAGTCTGCCATGTGTGAAAATATGGATGGACTTCAAGTACATTGTGCAAAATGAGATGAAGCAGACAGAAAGTGGCAAGAAGTGTATGATACTACTTACACATGAAATTTTAAAAAGCCAGAATTGCAAAAAAAAAAAAGAATAAAATGGTTGTTCCCACAGGATGAGGGGATAGGAAAGATGTCCTTTAAAGGGTACAAAACTTACCATTATTAGGAAATAAGTCCTAGAAATAATGCACAGTACAGTGAACACAGAAAGCAATATTGTTTTATAATCATCAAACTTGCTAAGCGATTATAACTTAATTATTTCAACTACTAACAAAGATACTTATGTAACATGATAGAGATACTAATTACTGCTATAATGGCAAAATCATATTACTATATATAAAGATATCAAATTAACATGTTATATACTTTAAATTTACATGTTTTGTGCCAAATATATTTCAATAAAAAATAATACTGTGCTCAAGATAGCTTGCAAGTATGTTCTCAGAAACATCTTTTAAAAATAATGAACTTTCAAAAATGTTTCCTCCCACTGAGAAAACTGTGAAATACATAATTAATTGGCAAAGGCACCAAATTCACTGGTCTAAGAAATGGAGAATGAGGTTTCCCAACACAAAGGCTCTGACAGACACAGTGAAGGAGGGCTTAGCAGCTTGAATTCATCTTCAAATGAATGCATTCAAAGTAAAGACCAACACGTTGAAAAGAGAACTAAACTTCATGGCCTAAGAAGCTGGGGTGCACTTACAAACAAGGTGGGGTGCACAGGGAGGGTGAGGAGGTCTGGAGTTAACACATCTGACACGGGTTTAGTTAAAACGTGCCTAACTGTTAAGTCCATCTCTAAAAGTCCAAATAGTAACTTTCTGTCTCTTGTGACTAAGAGTGAGCTAAAAAATGAACAAAGGGTCCCTAGAGTTCTGCCTTTTAGCAGTACCTCAGTCACTCCACCTCTCTGGAGATACCCTAGAACCTGAGCACTACTGGGGGCTCCGGCTCGGGCGAGTCCAGACCCCCCTGTCCGTGGGGCCGTCAGCGCTGCACCGGCACACCTTCTCCTCTAGGGGGGCTCCCCACTGGATCTCGCGATTTCCAATCCTCCAGTTGAGAAACCACAACGTGATCTGGGATGACTTCTCCCTTTTATACTGATTCTTCTGTGAAATGTCTCTTACACCCATCCCTTCCCTTCCACCTGATTCCGGTCCTTATCACAAGAGGGCAGTAACCCAGTCTCCTTGCTTCAGCCTCTCTGGCACCCACCCACACACACACACACAAATCCCATTAGATTAATCCCATCTAAAAACCGCTTTTGTTTACTTCCCTGCTTAAAATTATTTTCCACTGTCAATATGTGAGATTAAAATTTATCAACTTGGCATTCGTAAATCTCCATAATCTTTCCTCAAATTTCCTTCACACTCCAACACAAATTGGTCATTTATTTTAACCAAACAGCTCTTCTCTTTCCAAAATACAATCTAAACTTTTCAACTTGTTTGTGCCAGCTTCTTTTTCAACTCCGCACTCCAAACCATCCAGTAAATCTTTGCCCAGTATGGTAGAGTAGAAACATTAGGGGCACTGCCATCAGACAGACCTGAATTCAAATCCTGGGTCCACCACTGCCCAGCTGCAGATAAGCAGATCGAGTTACTTAACCTCTCTGCAGTCTCAGTTTTGCAACCATAAAATGATGAAGTGCTACCTGCCCCAGAGTTATTGTAAGGATTAAATGATATAACAGTAGCTGGCACGTTTATTAATTTTCTTCACTGCATCTTAAACTCTTAAATCTCCTCTGGATCCACCAGTAAACCACACTTATATGATCAATTAATCACTTATGATCATCTGAAAATCATTTACGGACTACCTAGTTAACCAGGCACAAACATCATTTAGAAAGCGAAGCTACAAAGCAGAGGAATCACGTGACTTCTTGGATCTGCCAAGTTCTGTACAATCAAGCAAATCAGTGATTTCTCTTCTTGTATCCATCCTCCTAGGCCAAAGTCAAGTAACTACTTTGTGTCTGGGAACAGTTTTTAAGGCACAAATAAACACTGTGTCTGGCCACAGTAAGTGCTGAAATGTCTTTTGAATAGTGAGAAGTAAAAGTAGATTTCCAGGGTTCCAAATATTTTAATGAAGCTCTAGAAACAGCCATATCAGCATAACAATTTTCAATTGGTATTTGCTCAAATTGTCTAAAAACATGCACACATGCACACACAAAGAGTGACCATGAAAAGAAGACACAGAATTAACTCAAAAAGAATTAAAGAAAAATTTAAGGATGGAGAAAGATCATTATACCTTTGTAGCTTCACAAAGCAGGGAAAAAGTGGAGGGGGTCGAGGGAAAATGTAATTAATCAATATACGTTGCTTCTAAGCAAACCACTTCTGAAGTCTAATTTTAAACTACAGGCTCTTGCTCTGATTTTTTTATTCAATCGAACATGTGAAGTAGTATGCTACTGTACCTTTAAACAGCTGACTATTGGTATTCATGTTTATTTCTTAGTCTAAAAGAACTGCCTAGGAATAGTGGAAGAATTCAGAAATCCTTAATAATTAATACCATTATTAAGTTAACAACAAAATAACATCAAGAATTAATATTACAATGCAGGATATTTTACAGAAGAACAGAGAGCAACACTTTTTTTTTATACTGTTTCACCAAAGCAAACACAGAAAATGCCAAACAGGGTCAACTCTTACTACTTAAGACTAAACTTTAATAAATAGTTGGGATTTTATATAAAACATAAAAAGGATATTATACAGTAATCATGGAAGAAGAACTTAAATAAAGAAATACAAAATAATATGGTCAGTTCCTTAGCCATTATTTAACTGCTGATGAAATTTTTATTACATTAATCTCATTTTTCCAACAAAAAAGGACAAAATGAGGTTTCAAGGGTATCATCATTTGGCAAAAAGTTAACATCCTCCATCTTTTGCAATAAACACTGACTCATACACACAATCTATTTTTAAGGCTGTTAGGGATATGTACATAGAATGCATAAATGTAAAATGATTTGGAGTGAAAATTAATGTCTATTAAGAAATAAATTATTTTTTTAAAGTATACAGTTCAATATAATCACCTGTGACTGTTCTATTTCTGCTTTGTTTAACTTGATTCCAAGGATTTCAGCAGCAACTTTCTGAAAACACAGGAAGACCTGCATAACAAAAACAGGTTTAAATGATTTAAAACAGGCATGCCTAAGTTACCTTCAAACAAATTGAACTTTCTAAAAAATGATAAACAGCAAAAGCTGCAAAAAACATGACGTACCACGTTATTCCAAAAATAGCTCTATTTGTCAAATACAGCAACATTTTAAGTATAATACTTTTTTAAATGATTAAACCATAATTTGAAAATTCATACACTTTATTGCACTGGTCTAATTTATACATTTATTCTGAAAAACGGACACTTTTAAAGAGTTAACATAATTAATTACAGCTACCACATCAAAAAAAAAAAAAAAGACTCCTAGCCAAATAATAAAGTGCTGTAAGTCCTGAAGAAAATGAAAGTGATATACTTTACTACCTTGGTAAAGTTTTTCACTGCCAATTTTACACTGATCTTTTGATATGGCATTAGCCTATATTGAAAGGTGTTACTTTCCACTCTTTCATCATCTCTAAGGTTATGATCAATTTTAATAAATTCTCTCTGGAGCAAAAACTTAGTAACCTTTACTGTATTTTGCCAAACAGAAAAGTATTAGTGTAGGACTTCCCTGATAGCCTGCAATGCAGGAGACCCCAGCTTGATTCCTGGGTTAGGATGATCCCCTGGAGAAGGGACAGGCTCCCCACTCCAGTATTCTTGGGCTTCCCTTGTGGCTCAGCCGGTAAAGAATCCACCTGCAATGCGGGAGACCTGGGTGCAATCCCTCGGTTGGGAAGACCCCCTGGAGATGGGAGAGGCTACCTACTCCAGTATTCTGGCCTGGAGGATTCCATGGACTGGACCATACAGTCCACGAGGTCGCAGAGTCGGACACTACTGAGGGACTTTCACTTTCATAATCCAGTATCATGAAACAAAAATCTGCAAAGACTTCTAACATCCTTTCGTACACAGATAGCTTATACGGGGTCCACGATGATTCCCGGAGCTCCAATCCAATCTTTCCCTGTCTGCATACCTTGTCTTTGCTCCCTAAATATCCTAGTTTATTCTGACCCCTACTTAATGGCTTTTGTCATTTATACCCCAAAGGGCATCACATATTATAGTTCACCGATGGTCAATGTAAGGAGAAACAGGGAAGCTAGTGTGGTGAAATGGAGAGAAAAGGAGGGCTGTAGAAGAAAAACAGCAGAGTGACTCAGTTCAGTTCAGTTCAGTTGCAGAGTGACTAAGAGCATATAAGTCAGGTAAGGTCTGGTGGGCTGTCATGGGGAGGACTTCGGCTTTCATTCACTCTGAGTGAAATGGAGGGTAGCTTGATGTGACTTCTGTTTTAATAAGGTCAATCTGCTTGTTGTATTGAATACTCACTATAGAAGATCAGGGGTAAAGAAGAGAAAGTGGCAAGAACACTAAGGTAAGAGGTGATGGAGGCCTGAAACAAAGCGGCAGCAGTGGCAGGAAAAGTCGCCAGGTTACGGGCACATCTGGAAAGCAGAACCAGCAGGACTTGGTGAGAGCTGCGGTATGTCAAAGACAGGAGTCAAGGACGACTTCAAAATTTTCCTGGTCTTAGCAACCAGTAGGAAATCTACCATTTATTGAAGTGGAGAAGACTGGAAAAGATTTGAGGAAGAAATAACAAGAGTTCAGTTCTGGACCTGAATCTTGAATGAAACTGGGACTGACTCTTAAGACACGTAAGTAGGAGTGCTGGGGTATATGAGTCTGCAGTTCAGGGAAGAGGTCTGGCCAAAGCCAGGAGACTAGATGAGGTCACAAAGGGAATTAAGTTTAAAAAAAGAGAGATATCCAAGGACTGTGCCTAGGGCAATTCAATGAAGGAATCAGCAAAGGCGATAAGAGAGTAGTTAGCAAGGTAGGAGGGAAACCAGAAGATGTAGTATTCTGGAAACTAAGTGAACAAAGTATTTCAAAGAGGAGTGAGTGATCAACTATTTTATATGCTGCAACTAAATCAAGTAAGATGAGGACTAAGAACTGGACACCGAATTTAGCAAAAAGGAGGTCACTGATGACCTTAATAAGAGCATTTTGGGGTGAAATATTAGGGGCAAAAGTCTGACTGGAACCATTCAAGCCAAACCAGGAGAAGAGAACTGGAGATAGCTCTTTGGAAAGATTCCACTGGTAAGTAGCAAAAAGTAAGAAAAGAGCTAAGGATGTGGGATGAAGCATTTTCTTGTATTTAAGAGAAGTCATAACATTTCATGTCCTGATAGAATAATCCAGTACATGCGGAAAAAAACGATGCAGGAGTGAGAATTCTAAGCCCTGTTTGTTACTAGGTAAAAAGACATGGGACTAATGCACAATGGAAGAGTTGAGCCTAGCTACGAGCAGAGACCGCTCAACCCACAGGAATCTCAGAGGAGACAGAGACATGGGAATGGACAGTGGGTGGGAAGGAAAGTTGGGGCAGACGAGGTGGCAAGAGTATGTGAAAGTTGTCTTCCCTTTGTTTCAATATTTTTTTTATAAAATAAGAAACAAGGGAATCAGCTAAGAGAATGGATGAAGAAGGTTTGAAGATTTGAGAAGATAAGCTATGAAACAGGCATCTAGGTGAAGGAGAGAGACCATGGCCTAAGGACATAATTACTAAGCAGCATTAAGGCCCACTTGAGGTGAATTGACTGTGGACTCTAAGTGAAACCTCCAACATGCCTCTGGGCTTTTTTCTGTCATGTTCAAATACACGAGTGCAATCATATAAAGGGGTGTGGTCAAGGTTTAGTCAAATAAGTCAGATAAAGTGACTGAGGGGAAAGGGAATTGACAGAGTATTGCCTGGTAATGATTTTGACGGACCATGAGTAAGGAAGAAAGGAAAATGAGGACATGAAAGGTCAGGGGCAAGTGTCAGGATCAATGTCATGCAGGCCCTGCTGGGGCTGCAGACTGACTGGACTAGGGCATTCAAGCTGGCCAGTGATTAGCATGCCTGATACTGAGACAGGAGATGACAGAAGGGCTAGAGTAATCTGTAATGACGGCATGGGGGTGCACGGCTGAGGTGGGGTGGTGAACGAAGACACTGACACCACTAAGGGTTATGACAAAGGCAGCATCAGAGAGTGTACAGTAAGACCGGAGATCAGCTTCTCAGGCAACGAAGGGAAGTAACCTGTGATCGGAGAGGACATACAGTGATTTCACAAGAACAAGCCATTTCAAAGTTACATTTAAAAAGAAAACAATGAGGATTTTTAAAGGTCGTTCAACATAAGTACACAAAAAATACTAAGTGGTTAAACACAAGCTAAAATACTGGAAGTTAAAATAATTCTAAAATGACAAGAGACCCCCAGGAAGAAAAGAGACATTAAAAGCCCAACCCATGGATGGGTTTATCAAGGAGTACTGACACTGTAAACATTTTTAAAGTAGGTGTCCCACATTAGCATTATCCTGGGTAAAGGGTTCTAATACATCGCATTTTTAAATGAGTTTGATTCCTCAAAAGATTAAATACCTTTTATATTATTCAATATTTACCCTAAGCATAAAAACCATCAGTGAAATCATACAGAAAAAACATCAAAAAGATTAAACCACAGAAAAATTCAAACATCCTTTGGTTGAAAATGTCAAGAAAATTAACGATCAAACAAAAATCTGGGCAGTGGAAAGAGAATATTTGCAAAAATTATGACAAATGGCTGTTATGTTATCCCTAACACAAAAATGGTCATAGAAAATTTTAAAAAGCAATAAAAACATAATAAACAGGTAATAAGCAGAAAATTAACAACAAATAAATTTATAAAAGTATATAATAAATATTATAAAGTGATAATAAGCAGAAAGTAGGTAATAAAATTTTAAAATTTTTAACCTCAATAGCAGTCAAAGAAATTTAAATTTAAATAGTAAAATACCTTTTAATCTCTTGTCTACCAAACTGACAAAGATTTAAAAATAAATAAATAAATTCTGAATGTTAAAAAAGATTATAGTGATATGGCACTCATACAATGCTGATGGTAGTGTAAATTAACTTAGGCTTTCTGGTGGTAATTTGGCAAATGATTTCAATTCTCTTCCAAGGAAATAATCAAAACTTACAAAATTTTACATTAGAAATTTTGCAAAATTTTACAATGTTCTGAACTTGGAAATAATCTATATATCCAACAATAGGGACCCAGTTGAATAAATTTAAACATTTATTTAATGGATTATTAAATCTAGTGGGTTTTTAATCTATTTAGTAATATTAAGTGACATGAGAAAATTTTCTACAGATAAACATATTAAATAAAAAAATAAAAAATTATTTCTATATTATGATTCCAATTTTTAAAAAGATAAACATTTAGCATGGTTAATACGGTGAACCTTGGAATGTCAATCCTTAGGTTTACAAATCCTACCTCCACCACTTATTCTGTGTACACTGAATCTCCACAATATAACTTCTCTAAGATTATTCTATAAAACAGAGATAATTACTTATGATTGCTGGAAAGTGAATCTGACTTATATGTGAAGATATTTTGGACTAATTCAAAAATATTTTAACATTATTCTAAACTTATTTAAATGGTTATGGTGATTTACAGAATAAGCATCCAATCAAATACAAAATAATTAATTAATTAACAACTAACCAGAGATAATCAAAGTAGTACATGCCCATCACCAAGTAGGCACTCAGTAAACGCAGTCCACTAGCTGTGGTAGCAGCAGCATCAGAAAACGAAACTATCATACGAGGTTATGACTGATCATCTCTGGATGCTGAGATTATGAGTGATTTATACTTTTTAGCTTTTGCATTTTAATTCCCTAAAAGAACCATGAAATTATGCTAAATAAATTATAAGAGGAGTATCAATAGAATAAGCATGTTGTATATAACCTAAGACATTTTATGTCTTCAATAGGAATTAATTTAATCTAAAAGTTAAGTCATGGAAGTATACTTTCTATGAATATTAGTAAATAAAAGTAAAGCATCACTTATAATATTCAGCATTCATTATCTTACTTACAGAGTCTCCTGTCTTTGCTGAGACAAAGTGGCTACTAAAGCCATTTTCCTGGCAAAATTTCAAGTGTTTTTCAGGTTTTACTGTTCTCATATGTTCCAAATCAACTAGAAAGGTGAACAAAAACAGAGAACAAAATTCAATAATAAAGTCAATCAATAAATATTTAACAAGTTTAAATGTGACTTTTTTTCTGATATTATACCCCAGCTTAGACACTAGCTGTGTAATTTGGGGCAATTCTTTTAATCTCTTTATGCTTCAGTCTCTAAATCTAAAAGCTGGAAAAAACAAATGGACCTATCATATACAAAGTTCTTTGAGAATTAATCCATGTTTAGTGCATAATGGGGCTTCCCTGGTGGCTCAGCTGGTAAAGAATCCGCCTGCACTGCAGGAGACCTGGGTTTGATCCCTGGGTTGGGAAGATCCCCTGGAGAAGGGAAAGGCTACCCACTCCAATATTCCGGCCTGGAGAATTCCACGGACTGTATAGTCAATGGGGTCGCAAAGAGTCAGACACTACTGAGCAACTTTCACTTTCACACACAATGACTAGCACATGTTAAGTGCCAGAAAACTAAAAGCTATCATTCCTATTATATAGTTTGAGGCACATTTGATGATACTCAAAAATATGCATTAGTGTAATGCATTTAAACATAATGATTAATTGTAACATATACTTACCACAGCATATTTGGTTTGAAAGTTTAACTACTTTAATATATTAATTACAATAGTTCTGGAATCTCTATAGACTTTAACGTTAACACAAGCACATTATTAATTTTCTGCCGAAAATTATCAATATTTCATTGTCTACTTACTTTATTTACAGTTACAGCTTAATTTCACAAAGACATAGCTCATTTGCTTTCCAATTCTAAAAGTATCCATTTTGAAAGCAGTAATGGGCCAGGATATATTTTCTTGAATAGTGGTAGGTGCTTTAAAGCAAAGCACAGTACTCATATCCAATACTGGTTTTATCCAACACAGTCTAATTTTTTCAAATGTGATCTTTTATTGAACAGTTTCTCTTTTTACAACACTACAAACCCTATAAGGGTGTTGATTCAATGCCGTCAAATTATAAGGCAAATATATTCACAGGATTTAAGGACAACTAGGCTCTTTGAGTCAATATAGGAAAAAAAACTTAAACTGATTTCCTGAGGAAGGGACCCAACTGACTTGTAAAAACTTGTAAATTTGCAAATCTAGTAAGCTTACATAATAGTGGCAATTGATTATCAACTAAAAAATGTTCTCATACTACGTAAAAGGCTTTATTTGAAATTACATTGAAGGTCTTTAGTTTGTAAGCTCAAGAAATCTTTCTCTAGGAGATTTTTGATCTACTGGGGGATTCCTAAGCCCCATTTATACTGCTTAGCTTGGATAATATGCACCTTTTTTCTTTTCTGGCCACAACTTGCTGTTCCTTAAACATCACTGAGACTTTATTTATAAGAAGAGGCCAAAAAATGTCCAGATACCACAGGCATCAATTTGTTGATGACTAAAATACTAAGCTATTAGCACTGACATTTGAACATCTAGTTTACCATAATATTGAAGTTAGAATACTTTCCTAATTCAACAAGAGTAAGAACAAATCATGTCACTAGGAAAATTCCCCAGTGAAATCACTGTCCAATTAAAAAAATAAAGTCTGTCATTCAACATGTATGTGCATTTTGTCTTTTCTAATGGAACAGTCTGCCACGGTTGTGTCTTTTCTTCCTTTCTTTCTTCTCTCCCTTCTCCACTTGCCCTACCAGATAACTCCTCAACTATTTACGTAGATAAAACTATAAATTTATCTATATAGCACTGGGGGATTTACTAGCCAAAAGGTTTCTTCCTAACAAAGATAATCATTAGAGACTAATAATTATCACTAATCAATTGATAAAAACATTATTCAAAAAATATTTATTATTTATTATATACCAAGCACTATGGTAGGCAGTGAGAACCCAAAGAGGAAAAAGATACAATCCAGGTTCTAAAAAAATTACCACCACTATTGGGAATATAAAAGACTGTTAAGAAGCATAAAAGTTATTTTAAATAACCAAGATTCTGAGAATGACACAGCAGATATAGAAAAGGCCCTCGCAGAATTTGACCATTGTTTTCCTCTGCTGTGTTAGAATTTAGTGAGCAAAATTTAAAAGGCCTTAATTACTAGAGTTTGTTGTTGTTGTTCAGTCACTAAGCTGTATCTGCCTCTTTTGCAACCCCAAGGACTATAGCCGCCAGGCTCCTCTGTCCGTGGGATTACCCAGGCAACCATACTGGATTGGGTTGCCATTTCCTTCTCCAGGGGATCTTCCTGACCCAGGGATCAAACCCATGTCTCCTGCACTAGCAGGTGGATTCTTTATTGCTAAGCCACCAGGAAAGCCCTAGTTACTAGAGTACTTCATTCTAAATAATCCACAAATAAATAAATTCTGACAATAAACTACAGTGAGATACTGGTAAATTCTTTCATTTCTTTGATTTCTGAAAGCATCATTAAAATTATTATCCAGTATTCATCTAGCATACACGTGGTAACAATCTTAACTGCTATGATTTAATTTCCCTTATATCCTCAGTGCAGGGGTCCCCAACCTTTTGGGCACTAGGGACCAGTTTCTTGGAAGACAATTTTTCCATGACCAATTCAAGCGCAGTAGGGTTCTCACTCCTATGAGAATTTAATGCCCGTCGCTCATCTGACAGGAGGTAATGCTAGCAACGGGGAATGGCTGTAAAGTCAGATGAAGCTTCGCTCGCTCAGCGGCTTGCTGCTCATCTCCTGCTGTAGGGCCCGGTTGCTAACAGGCCAAAGACTGGTACCAGTCCATGGCCCAGGGCTGGGGACCCTAATTCAGTGAACCAGTGTTTTATTTTTTTTAATAAAATACTTACTCTTATTATTTTTTATTTTAATACAGCTAGTTCCTGTATTTTATTTTTGAAAACAGAATTAAAAATCTCCCAATAGCATTAATACATAAAGATTTCTCAAACATTCAGAAAAACAATTATCAAAAGGACATAAAAAAATGTCACTAACTAGAGACAGCTACTGTTAACATTTTGGTGTATATCCTTCCAATATCTAAACAACTGAAGGACATGGGCATTAACATTCCAATATGCAACTTTCTTTCAGCTCTACCATACTATACCCTGCTTACAGTATGCTTAACAATTTCAATGGATAACCAGTTTGCTGATCACTCACTCTACTCATTCAATGAGTATTTGAGTGCCTACTATGGCTAAGCACAGAGAAAGAAACGGCAACCCACTCCAGTATTCGTGCCTGGAGAATCCCATGGACAGAGGAACCTGGTGGGCTACAGTCTATGGGGTCTCAAAGAGTCGGACATGACTGAGCGACTCACACACACACAGACACGGCTAGGCGCTGTCCTAAGAGCTGCATACGTAACAATGCCCTTACATCTTAATTCAGAGGAACAGACCAACAAGTAAATTACAGAGTATTGCTAATGTTGATATATCTTATTGAAAAAAAATAAAGCATGCATGAGAGGAATTACTCTTTCAAACAGGTAGGTCAAAGACCCTTAAGGTGAAGACCACACCACATTCAAAGAAAAGCCAGGAGGCCAGAGTGGCTGATAAGTTAGCAAAAGATGGAAATGGCAGGAAATGAAGTTTAAAAAGCCAGGAACTATATAGGTCACTGAAAGAGAGGTGCAAAGCTAGTGTAAGGTTTGTAAGGAAAAAAAATTTTAAAGATGCACTCTGACTTATAGTTTAAAAGGCTGGGGCTGCTGAATAAACTGTTGTTTGTTGTTTTAGTCATCAAGCCCTGTCCAACTCTTTCACGACCCCATGGACTGACCACCAGGCTCCTCTGTCCGTGGGATTTCTCAGGCTAGGACACTGGAGTGGGTTGCCATTTCCTTCTCCAGGGGATCTTTTCAACCCAAGGATCAAACCTGCATCTCCTGCACTGCAGGTGGATTCTTCACTGCTGAGCTACTGGGGAATAAACTGTAATTAAATGTAAAGCAGAGAAGCCACTGAGAAGATTATAGTAAAAATCTAGGAAAGAGAAGATGGTAGTTTGGACAAGGGTGGGACCAAGAAAGATGGTACAAAGTAGGGCAGATTCTTAACATATTTTTGGGAATAAAAAGTGAGAAAGTACTAATGGATTTGACATGGATGTATAAGATAAAGAGAAATTACTTGAAGATAGCTTAACCTGGATTTTAAATGAAACAGTGTATTGTAGGTGTTGTTCCAGGCACACCCAGCTGCATGGATGGAGGTGCTGAGCAGATAAAGATTTGCAGTTAAGTAGTGCTGGAGTTTTCCCAATCATGTACAATTACTGAAAAGAAGGGCAGGTAATTGAGGATAAAAAAATGTTAAGGAGTAGATTATATTGAAAAGAACATGGAATTTAAGTTAGGTAAGAAGGGGGATCAGGAAAATGAAAATTGATAAGATCAATCGATGTTAAAGTCTTAAGTGGGTTTAAAAGTTACTGGAATTGGGTTACCAAAGACGAGAGAGAACAGACAAACTGGAACACATGAAACTGATAATTGATATTATGGAGACAGTAAGTCTTCAGAATAACTATGTATACCTATGGATGATTCATGTTGAGGTGTGACAGAAAACAACAAAATTCTGTAAAGCAATTATCCTTCAACAAAAAAATAAATTAAAAAAAAAAACTATGTTAGTGTTGGTAGGTGGCAACATTATAGCAAATGATGAATTCAAGGAACTGAGAGACAAAAGTATTAAAAGGATAATCTGTATGCAACTAAAATTGCTAATCAGGACAGCAATAGTAATGAACCAACATCTTTAAGAATTCAAGGTAGTGAGTGTTCAGGGGTTGGCTGATAACGCCAACAAATGTAAGTAGCAGGATGTATAATCATACAGCTTGATAGTCAAATCTAAGGGTTTTTAGGCAAGATGAAGAAGAATGATCTGGAAAGAGCAATAACAAGGTCACTACCCACCCTCCAGTACTAGTGATAAGGCAGATACAGGAGGGGATGCCAACATTTCAAAGAGTTTCAGGAGATGGCAGTGTTGTCCTTACAGG